CGAATTAGACTATTTACCGGGTTTGTAATAACATGAGCAACAGGACGGGTGCCACATGTGAAGCAGGATCTGCTTACCCTTCCGGAGCACCTGAGATCACCCCCAGTTTTTGGTGGGGTTCGTGTTGCTGAATCTTTAGTTTTCTATGTTGTGTTTTGTGTACTTATGTTTGTCTGTTTGTCTTTTTCTCTTTTTAGTCATGGCGTTGTCAGTTTATTTTCGATCTGTGAGTTTGGCTGTCCCTCTGGTATCTTTCGCCCCTCTTTTCCTTTACATGTCGAAAGTAAAAGCAAGAAAGTCATACTTGAGTTAGAAAACGTTCGAACTCGAATTACGTCCGTTCAAATAACCCTGTACTTCACATCTGTTCCCAAAATCTATCAAGCGAAAAGTATTCGACTTTGGTCTTAAAAGTCATTTTTAACCAACTATACATAGTTCTAATAATAATAAACTAGAGGCTCTAAAGAGCCTTTCTGATCACCTTGGTCTATGTTCATATTCAACAAAGGACACTCTCCAACATTGTAAACAAGAATAGAATTCATGACAAAAATCTGTTTTGTTGATCTTGTATTGCTGATCATGTGCTGTTTAGTTTCCTTCTATCTTATAAAGTTTTGCTCAAAACACAAAAGAGGATAAAAAAATCCTCATTTAAGGGCAACAACTCCTATAAAGAGTCACAGTCTACTTAACTATGTCGGCAACATTTGACTTGTTAGTAGATCTTGACTTGCTGATGATTTTTGTGATTTAAAGTGTATCGTTATCTATTATAGTTTTCTATAATATATGAGAAAACGCAAAAAAAAGAGGTGAAAATCGTCTTTAAGGTGGTATGGGAGTATAGATTAAAAATGATAGAATTTGTTCAGACTTTGCCAAAACGTAGTATATATTGTGAAATGTTCAAAAATATAATAAATATGACAGGTCACCGAGCATTTTCTCAAGCTACAGGTTGTGACAAAATGACACATTTTGTATGGATTATACGGGGGGAAAACAGCATTATGTGATCAGAAGCTAAACTAAATGATAGAATTGAAAACAAAATGCGAGAAGATAGCTTTTAGAAAATGCTTTGAGAATATCAATAGATAAGATAGGGTCACCGTGCGTTTTTCCTACTAAAATTTAAAATAGCAAAAGTTCATGTAGACTCTTTCAGAAAATGCACTATTTCAGAGTTATCTCCCCTAAAAATGATAATTTAAAAACATTAAAAATCAAACAAATAAAATCTACGCTTGTAAAAATATTAATATTTATAAGTTCAAATCTTATAAATTTGTTCTTTTAAATGAAAATTCACATTAGTTATCTGCATTTCTGCATAAAATTTTGCTACATTGATTAAAAATTGGACCTTAGGTTCTCTGTTATTTACAATCCAAGAATGCAAAAGACACTACATTAAAGGGCAATAACTCCAATAAGAAGTCGCTTTCATATTGTCTTTATTGTAGATTTAAGATATTAGGGAAAAAACGCAAAATAAATGGTCAAAATCATCATCACAGGACATTAACTGTAATAAGGAGTCGATTAACGATTTCGACCATGTTGTCTCATTTGTAGAACTGATCTTGCTGATCATCATAAAGTTTTTCTGCATCTATTATAATTTTCAAGATAGTAGGCAAAAAAGAAAATAAATGGCAAAATTTGTCATTTAAGGGCAATAAAACCTAATAAATGGGAAATGAGTCCATGGGACACAGATAATGCCCCCGCTTGCATATAACTTTATAAAGGGACAAAATTTAAGAACGGCAAAAGTATAACCTATTACCATATACCAAGTTATTGAAGTTTTCCTGGACTTTTTGTTTTGAAGCAATTAGTTCATATCTGTACGCATGTTTTGTAAATAGCGCTTTAAATCGTAATTTTCATTTGATTGATATCCAAAATTGTAAGAAACAATGCCATTCAATCATCAATTAGTATACCTTAGTTAAGGCAGCAAACCAGTTGTTACAGCCTAGTAGTTTGTTTCCCTTTTGCCAGAGGTGCTTTTTTATATTAATTTCAACATTTTTTATTTGAAGTTGTGTTACTTTTTAACTTTCCATTGAAAGTTTTTGATATGATGTTTACAAATATTAACTTTTACGAATTTTACTTTTTATAGAGATTTATGTAGAGGTTATCAGATTTTTTTAGGAACCCCTTATCATAAGAAGATAAGACGGAGAAATTTTAAATTTTACTACCCTGTAGGATCTTGTAGATTACACCTACCGGTATCCAAAAAGGACTTGCATATACTAGGTAAAACATTTAAGCTAAAGTGAATGAATTTTCAAGTATATTTAACATTAATCTGGTCATTCAAAAATTTAATAGTTTCTCTTTAATGGCATACAATACAGTTTCGATTCCATGATGGGTTTTTTTTACGAAAATTTGCATACAAGCTATAGTTTTTCACCTAAGCAATTCAATTATGTAATAAGAATATACCTTCATGTGCTACTTTAAGAGATAAAAG